ACATGCACGTGAGGTGTGACCAAACCTTAAAGGAAAAATTGCATGCACCTGCACTTCAAGTAGATAAGTGTAGATACTGCTGTCGAAACTCTCTGCCCACTTTCCACTACTACCACTAGTACATCCTACAGATCTCCAGTCAATACTGACTGCAGCACTGAATCTCTGTACTTGCAGAAACTACAGACGGCGTTCTACCTCTGACTCTGAGGGCACAGCCACATTGTAGTATCCGCCAATCCGGCCGGCAGAAGCGCTACACTGTATTACCTGACGATACTCGTACTTGTGAGTACAATACTGAAAGGTGCATGGCATGTACATCGAATCTAATAGTAAGACTTGCATGTGGACGGTTCACTGATGATTATGTGTTTCTATCTATCTCTTTTTTTTTTTTTTTTTTTTTTTTTCTACAAAATCCACATATCTCCAGACACTGGGGTGAATGATGGAGTGTGGTGGTGGGGCCCATTAAGCTCCGCCGACCAGAGGTCTCGGCTTCATAGCTCCATGGACGCACCAACGGGATATTGGGTGGGGAGGATTAAATTGAAAAAGAAAACAGAAGAAAGAAAATGGAAAGATTGTATTGCTCAGTGAGCAAAAGAATAAGTTGAGTATTGATGTGAACGCTGTTAGACTTTTAAATTCAAGAGGAGACTGCCCGTGAGGAGAGATTACATGTATGTCCAAGCAGGGTAGGACACTGTACCCTCTTACTCGCGTATGCTATGAGTGGCCCAGTGCCAGTTCGTTCTGAGGAGATGGTGATAAGCTGCTGTCTTGAACTTTTGGATGTTCTTTGGGTGAAATGGGTGGGGAATGATAGAGGTAGGCAGCTGGTTCCAAATTGGGATGACGGAGTGGGGAAAGGCTCGGCTCACATTGTTCCGGGAATTGGCAGGAAGAACATTCTGTAGCTGATGGGGATGCGCGGTGGACAGTCGTACAGCCTGGCGGGTGAGGCGTGTGGTCCTGGGTTGGTGTGTCGGGGGTGGAGCCATTCTCGAGAGAAGAGCGGGAGAATTATCGCAAAGGGCTTTATACAGGAGGCAGAGGGCAGCGATGGTGCGGCGAATTATGAGGCTAGGAAGCCAGCATTGCGGATGTATTGCCTTGATGGCTCGCTCCTGCACCCAGTCCAGCCGATTCAAGTGGGAAGGAGCTGCCCCCATCCAGACGATTGGGCAGTACTCCATAACCGGCCGGACAAAGGCTTTGTAGGCTCGAAGCCGGGCAGGAATAGTCAGCAAGTGAAATGCCTTGCGCAAGGCTCCAAGTCTCTGCGTTGCTCGGACTACAACAGTTCGGATATGCTGGCTGAATTTTAGCTGATGGTCAAACGTGACGCCGAGTACTTTGATGGAGGGCTGCTCCTCAACAGGAGTTCCATTGAAGACAATGGGGGGTATTGGCCAGTCCCGACGATGGTGGGAAATTGTAAGGGCCTGAGATTTGGCTGGCTCGAACTGCACTTTCCAATCCGAGCCCCAACTGGATACTAGGTCGACAGCAGCTTGGAGTACTCTAGCGTTGTCAGGAACAGCAGCGAGCGTTGCAATTTCGGCGTATAGGGTTGTGTCATCGGCGAATGAGGCAAGGTTGGAGCCGATTGGGAGGTGGTCTTCAAGGTCGTTGACGTAGACCAAGAATAAGGTGGGGCCCAGGATACTGCCCTGTGGCACCCCAGCCTTAACTGGGCGTCTGGCTGATGTCTGGCCGGAGATGAGGACTTGAAGTGTGCGGTTGCAGAGGTAGTCTTGGAGCCACCGATGCAGGTCTCCCGAGATGCCATACACTCTAGCCTTGTGCAACACACCAGTGTGAGACACCCGGTCAAATGCTCCAGCAATGTCGATGGCCAGCACTCGAGAAGCTCCTTTATCTCCGGCGGTGTGCACCCACTGGTGGTGGAGAGCAGTCAGCAGGTCTGCTGCACTGTGGCCGCGACGGAATCCAAATTGCCGTTCTGACAGGACGTGATTCGTCTCCATGAAGTTGCTCATTGCCCTGTTGACTATGGTCTCCATGACCTTGGAGAGGATGCTCAGTAACGACACTGGTCGATAGTTTGATGGCGACGATTTAGACTTGCGCTTGTGGACTGGAACTACGTTTGCAACCTTCCACTGTTGTGGCTGGATACCGGAGCGAAGACAGCATGTAAATAGTTTTGAAAGCGGCCGTGCCAATTCTGCAGAGCAAGCTTTCAAGACGCGGGCAGGTATCCCATCTGGACCAGTGGCCTTGGTGGGGTTGAGCTGGCGGAGAGTTCGCTCGACTGTGGTTTCGCGAAACCGGACGGTGCAGAGGTTGCGGTCAGTACGTGGTCGGACGTAAGGAAATGGAGGGGATAGGTCGTCTGCCCCTAGACTGCATTTGTTGGCGAAGTGTTCGGCCATGCACTCTGCTTTGCTGCGGTTGGTGTCGTGCTCCGTACCATCGGTGCTGCGGAGAGTAGGTATGGATGGGCTGTTTCCGTGGCCAGAGGCCTTCTTGATGGTTCGCCACCATTCACCAGACGCCATACACCCAGAGGCTAACTTCTGCGCCAGGCTTGCTGTGAATGCCTGCTTGGCAGTTGCCAGGCAATGGTTAGCCGAGTGCTTGGCGACATTGTAACGGGCTTGCAGCTGGGCACTTGACCGGTCGGCGCAGAGTCTCCTCCATGCTCTTTGTTTCTGTGCTACAGCCTCAGTGCATTCCGGTGTCCACCAAGAGGGGTTAGATGGTTTCATGCACAACTGCTTAGACGGTATGTATCGGCGCATTCCTTCCAGAATATTCTGGGTCAAGTGCATACACATTGCATCAGGATCATCACTGACAGTGGACTGCCAATCTGTAGTTCTAAAGAAGTGGCGGAGTCTGTCCCAGTCTGCGCGTTGGTAACGCCAGACAGTTCTGGTCACTGGTGGTTCCTCTGCTGTGCTTACATGAAAGTCAGCTAGGACACAGGCATGGTCAGAGTTTCCCAGAGGTGCTAAGGTATTGACGGTCGCATCTCCCGGTAGGTCAGTCATTATTAAGTCGAGTGGGTTAAGGCCCCTGGTGGGCTCATGCACGTGCTGCTCCAAGCAGTGAAAAGCACACATGTCTTCAGTGTACACACCTGCATGAGTTGTCTTGGTGCTGCCGAGCCAATCCACGTTGTGTACGTTAAAATCTCCAGCCAATACCACATATTGACAAGATTTACGGGCCAGGTCTATGCCAGCACTGATGGCTTCAAGGGTACTGATGTCATTGTCGTGGCAGGAGCCAGAGCGATATGCAGCACACACAGCCACTGACTTCTTATCCACAGTTCTGACACTCAGCCATATTAGCTCCTCATTACTGACCTGGATGTCATCGAGTTCTCGGAGGGCCAGACTGGCTTTAACCCAAACCGCAACTCCTCCTCCATGAGCTGTTCGATCATTCCGCAGTGGGGAGTAGTACCCAGGTAAGGACAGTTCGGAATCAGTAGCCTTCTCAGGGGTTAGCTTGCTCTCTGTGACAATGGCAATGTCAGGTTGGTGAACGTGTACAGCATGGTGAAAGTCACCAAGTTTACTCAGTAGTCCAAATGTGTTCGTCAGCAGGATCCGAAAGGATCTAATTGGAGCTTTGAGCTTGAGTGTCGGAGGACTCGGAGAGAGCGTCACTGTGTGAGCCGGACAAGGTGTCCCCCTTTGGAGCATCACTGAGAGTGTCACTGTGTGAGCCGGACAAGGTGTCCCCCTTCGGACGCTCACGGTGGCGCCAAACCCGCGCGTACAGTGGGCGAGGCCAAAAGTTTGGAGCAGTGGCGATTTCAAGGTCAGTCGCATCGATCATCAAGCGGGCAGACACTTTCCCATCTTCTGTGGTGTGTATGCTGCACTGGTGAACCTTCACCGGTTTGTTTACTGCTGCAGAGCGTTGCTCAGTGAATTCCTTGACACTTTCTTCACTGCTATGTGAGTTCAAATTGCCCACATAGATTACGGCTTTCTTCACTCTGTGAGGTTCGTTTGATACCAGTTTCCACGTGTCATCCGTGATTGGCTCTAGCTTCAGTGGCTTGGGCTTGACAGTGGGCCGCTCAATTGCCTGGGACTTGTCCTCATCCTCCGTTGACGTTTCATGGTCACTGGCAGGGTCACACACGCTACGGGAAGTGCTACGGTGTTCGTCTGCATCAGTGGTACACGTGGCAGCCTGGCCTGCGCGAGTACGGGTACGCTTGCTGGTCCTTCCCGCTGTACTCTCCATCGTACGCTGGCTGTGCTGGTTGTGGGCAACTGCTGGAGGAGTCAGGGGAGAAGCACTTGCTGCGACAATGGCGGACTCCCTGAGGGCGACAACCTCCTCGTTCAGGCCTGCAATTTGCCTCGATAAATCATCGATCCTATTCTTTAGTCGTGTCTCGCGGTCTGCGGACTCCGTCACAAATGTTGCCAGCGTCTTTACTACGTCTAAAATCGAAGACTCGATCCCGGGGAGGGAGCACAACAATTTTACCTCCGAATCCGTCAGCCCGCGAACGGCAGCTTTTGCTGGAGGCATGGCGGAGGTAGGCCAAAGCTATCCAATGTCTACCTAGTTTCCTACTACTACTACTATACCTAATGTTTGAAACCAGGCCGGCCTGATGCCGGTTTCCTGGCGAGAAACTGTGGGAGCCTCAGAGCGCAAAAACCTGCACCCTGCTCCAAAGTTTGAAATTGTATGTACTCGATCTCTGTTAATCTCTATTACTCTATCTCTCGAAACCATACCTTGCAATAAGTTCATGCCGCTTCTAATGCTTGCTCAGTGAGCGAAGCTTGCGTTCACGGTCACCTGTGGTGTTGGTGGCGGCGGTGGTACAACTCGTACTTGTCGAGTTTCCTCTCGTGGTGCCGCCAGTCTAGATACTGCAGCGCGAGAACCTTTCGTCACACCGATACAGAACAGCCGCATCGATGGGTACACATTCTCCTTACCGAATCCTGAACTGGAAGTCGCTGACAGTCTAGGCAATCACTGAAATGGCGGTGCACTCATCTGCTGCTACCTCTGCGACATCACGACCAGGTGATCAGATAGAGTGCAGTGGCAAAGATGCTGAAAGTGTTATAGCCGAAGACAAACAGGACTTGCTGATGGATAAACGAGCTACCGGTGTTGGACAGCAGGCCACCAGCGTCGATCCGAGCACGCAACGGAACAAAAGGTTCTCGAGACGACAGAAAGTGTTTCTAGGAGGGTGCTTCATAGCGAATGTCGCCTCTATTTTCTTAGCTATCGCCATGCCTCTCGCTTTCTTCACAGAAGAAGTGCTGAGCAGCTTTCCAACTCAGGGTATTGACCGTCATCTGGTCGTAGGAATTGCGTTTTCGTCAACAACCTTAATGGAAGCTCTTGTTGCTCCGGTAATTGCAGCGGATCTGCACAATGCAGGTGCAGTGAATGTTCTAGTTTTGAGCTCGTTTCTGATCAGTGGTGCAGTGCTACTATTTGGATTTCTCAACCAGATCAAAACTTGGAGTGCATTTGCAACTTTAGCAATATCACTTAGAACTCTGCAAGGTATTGGGAGTGGTGCAAATGTCACAACGACTTACGCCCTCTTCGTATACACGTTTCCAGAATCAACCGGAATGGTGAACGGCGTCATGCGCTCTGTAACCGGCTTTGCATTTGCCGTAGCACCGGTCTTTGGTGGAGCTCTTTATGATGCTGGTGGATTTGGCCTGCCATACTTCGTAATGGCAGGTACTCTGGGCACTACAACCCTCCTGAATATACTCCTGCTCTTACTCGTCGGGAATGACGTAGATCCTGCCGATGACAACCACAGCAAGCAAACACAGTCGCGACGTGGAAAGGGCGAAGTAACGTTCAAATACATCCTGAGTGTACCGTGGGTGTGGATGTGCCTGATGTTACTATCCATGTGTGGTATATTGGCGGGGATGTTTGAGGCCACCATCTCCCCGTACATGAAGGATTCGTTTGGAACGTCGTCCAGCCAGGGTGGGGCAGCAATACTGCTGTTTGCACTCTTGTTCTCGGCTGCTTCCTTGTTCTGTGGCTACGCTATGGACAAATGGATAAGCCCAAGAAACATGTGTGTATTTGGACTGTGCATGGCCGTTCTCTCCTTTCTACTCTACGGACCTGCATCCATATTACCTATTAGACCATCCGTGGCGTTGGCTTACATTTCAGGCATACCGGTTGGAGTAGCTGCTGGAACAATGCAAACTGCAGCACCAGAGGACATGCTGCGCACGTTGCTTCGTCGTAATGTGGGAGATACGTTTGTTGTAAGTGCGTATGTTGGCGCCATCACGCAAGGAGTCGTGTCGCTTGTATACACGCCTGGACTCCTCTTGGGACCTGTTCTGGTAGCGGTGGTTGGGCTGCGCAGGCTTTCGTCACTCATGTTGGCAGTATACGTGGCGCTGAGTCTCATCTTTCTCGTCGGGTACCTAAAAAAGCGCAAATCAGAGAGGCAGCAGGACGAAACTCGTGATGATACCCATCATAATAATACATGTGACCCAGCTGTGAACGTCACTGAACAAACAGAAATGATACCGCTGGTAACTGCCGATCAACACAAAGCCCAAGTGAAATGACAGGTACATGTCCTCGAAGTTACAGTGAAACCTGTTTAAGACGACCGCTCAAGGGACCTTCAACATGTGGTCTCCGTTACCAGGTGGTCTCCTTGTCCAGGGTCGTTTGACTGGAAATAGCATCCCTTGGTCCTGGTCGTGGTGGTCTTCTAGGATAGGTGGTCGCCTTATCCAAGTGGTCACCTTGACAGGTTTTACTGTACTCCAATTCAAAGAAACTTTGTCAGTTGATGCCTAGCGCAACATTGTTACCTTTGAACACCCCCTCTCTTTCTCCTACGTCCGCCATCAAAGAAGCTGAGACCCTAAACACAAGCCAGTGGCTCCGTTATAGGCTCTAGCTCTCCTCTAGATTTCAATATAATGACAAGCGTGCGATACCATAAGTTGTTGTGTGCGTATGAGTAAGGCATCATGATGTGTGGCCTTTCGAGGTGAAGGACTACACTTTTTTAATTTTTTTTATATTTTTTTTACAAAGACCACTTAATGCCAAACATGAGATGCAGCTAGGGGAAGCACGCACAACCTGAATCGTGGCAGTGGTGGTGAGGTTTAGGGAGCTCCGCCGACCTAGGGTCTCGACTTCATAGCCACCTAGACGCACCAAGAGTGGGTGGGGAGGGAGAGAGAGAGAGAGAGAGAGAGAGAGAGAGAGAGAGAACTATCTGCAACTCAACCACTGAAGCACCTGTGCTCAAAGGGTGTTTCAAGCTGGCTCAACACTCTGTCATTTTGCGTAAACAAGGTTTTATGCTGTAGAAGAACGCTGATAGGGATCTCGATGTCCGGTTTTTGTATTACATTCTTTACTTGAATTCGCAAGTACTTCGAAGTACAATCAGGTTCGAAGCCCAGTAATACGAGAGCGAATGCAGGCAACAGAAGTAGGAAGGAGGAGGAATGGGCAGGAATATCATTCTCAACGTATTTTTCATGTTTCATGCACCTGTATGAACTATGAATCGAACCAAGAAGCTGGAAATGAATACGTGAATGTACAATAGGGATTTCGAGTAGGGCAGTGCAGTGTGTGGTCATGATAAATGATGCAGGAATGTCAGGAGGTACCTCTAGTGTATGTCCCGTCGAAGTTTGGCATTGACCACCTCGGCAAAATTATGTATTTTGCACATATAAGTGTGGTAACTGAGGTATTAATTTAAGGTGGCAGCCTGGTCGTAAAATCCCTGAAAAATCGAATTTGTAAATTCATATCGAGTGCTACATCAGTTGAAAGAGCATGAACAGCTGCAAAATCTCTGAAAAGTTTGTCTCGATCTGACCAGCCGTTCAAGAGTTATGGCCGAAAATGTGCCTTTGCAAGGAAAGATTTTTTTGTTGCACGCTGTCATTTGTTGGTAGCACTGTATTTGAATCTGAGCAGACCTTGCGCAACTTGTCGTATCATGGAAACACGCGAAAGTGTGCAGAATTTTGCTCAAAGTCCAAAAAATCACATTTTTTAGCCACGTATTGGGCTGCACGGCGGCGGGCTTCTGCCAGCACCCTCGCGATGTTGTGGCTTGATTATTGTAGTTGACGTTGATTTAGTGACTTTGGCAAGTTTGAGTCGTGTCAAGAAGTCAGGTAGGATTCAGCACTAGGCAGTAGTGGAACGTGAGTGGCAGTCTGCCGATTTTTGAGGGTATCCTGGATTTGGTTTGCAGCGCTGTGGAAATGGCTTGTTGTGGAGGTCCCAGCACTGGATGTTGTATCAAAGGTACGACCTCGTAGCACACCCTAAACCTAAAAAAAATCAAAAATTGACTTTGGTCTGTGGGAGTCTGCGAGAGAACGCCCACTCGTGCCATTATGACAGATTCCAGGGCCACGTTGAGGGGCCCTATCGAACCACCCATGGCTGCTTCTGGACTCTTTTTAGGTTTGGATCCCGCGCACGGACAGAATGGGCAAGAAGATGTGAAAAATTTGTAAATGCATTTGTTTGGCTCCTGGGTGGCTCGCACACCGTGGCACTATGCAGGAATTTTGGGTTTTCCGGCCTCGAAAGCCTGTCAGTGAGGCGCAAGAAATTTTGAATCATGTCCAGAGGGCCAGCATAGTGGCAGGAGTGTGTGGTGCAAAGTTCACTCAAATCCATTGAGAGACACCAAAGTTACGGTCAATTGAATGCCATATGAAATTTACGACCAGGCTGCTACCTTAACAGTTTTACAAGCTGTATTTCTTCGCTACCGACCATCAATGTGTGCATTCAGGAATAATCTGTCACTACACTCCCACTCTTCCCCTAATTGTCACCCTCACCTAGTCAGTTACTTGTCAATGTTTCAACTCCTTCCCCTGTGTTTTTATCATTGGTACTACCTGCATTTACTATTTCGGGCGCACATGCCGCCCATCTGGCTGCGAGCTTGTACGTGACGTGATGTTTGGTGTCGTGGATGGTAAGAGAAAGCGTGGTCGTCCGAAGATTTCCTTTGCTGACAACATCGTTTCGTGGACTGGTATGTCTCTGCATGAGAATTGCCAGTTGGCATCTGACAGAGATGCCTGGCAGTCGCACTGTGCATCTACTGCTTACACAGCTGCATAATGCCGTTTATTATTATTTTTAAAATTTTACTTTTATTATTTTCTCGGCAACGCAGATGATGATGATGATGATGATGACTACCTGCATACCACATTTAGTGCTAATTCTCACTGTTTTGTATTTGGTATTTGCTCACTTTTCCTCCATGCAATCTGTTCTTCTTCCCTGTTCTTTTTAATTGTGATGTATTCCAAATTAAGAACATCACAAGATAAAAAAAAAGGCGGAAGGGAGCGTCTCAGCTTCCTCGGACCAAGACCATTCGACTCAGCACAACGAGGACTACAACTGGTGAACAATTGATTTTAGGCTTAACTTCCCCTTTAATTGTCATGAGTGATTGTTAGTAATACTGGTGAATTAGGAGTGACTTGTCCAGCACGGAGACCATCTACTTGTACATGTACACGCACATGTTCAGACCGAGTAGATAAAATGATTTATACGAATACAGGTATTATACTGAATTGCATACGCTGGTCTGTATTCGTGGATCCCTAGCACAGACCATGTGCACGCGTACTCACCACAATCCACAATTTTATATTAATCTTATTTTGACATCGATATCAAACGAGCAGGGCTGCCCAATATGATGGTCACGATTGCTGCAATCAGTGCAAAGCAGAATAGCACTGAAGGAGAGGAAACAAAAATAGAAGAAAAAAAACAGAACCCGCAGTATAATGGATACATGTACTAATAGGCAGCAAAAACGAAAAATCACAAAGATCAGTGCGGCGGCTTGTGACGGGCACAGGAGAGTTAGAACATCACTTCGAGGAGGCATGCTGCGGATATATGTGAATAATAATGATATTTAAATATGCATGTACAAGAGTAATTGAACAATGCGGTCTAACTACAATTCGAAGCAGCAAAGCAACACACCACCCAACTTGGGTCGGTCAGCAATTATCAGAGATAAAAAAAGAAAGGTGAAGCTTTGCGAGAATGAATTGTACAAAACCGGACGCCAATATCTAACGGCACTCCTCATACATGGCACTATTGTGGACGAGTTGACAAGAGGAATATTGAGTAATATGCATGTACGTGTACTAAGAAAATATAACGGAGAGAAACTGTATAACTGTTCGATAGCAACTTTCCTGTGCGTTTACTTCTGGCCCTGATGGAGGAAGAAAGAGTGAAAAGATTTCAAAATGGAAATTTCATCGATATGCATGAACTTCAAGCCTTACCTGGAGCTGAAGATCAGGGTTATACTGAGGTCTTGTCATTCCCCATGGGTGGTGCTAATGTGTTGATTGGCTGCTGTCATTTCCCATGGGTGGTGCTAATGTGTTGATTGGCAGCTACCAGCGGTATCATTTCTGTTTGTTCAGTGACGTTCACGGCTGGGTCACGTGTATTATTACGATGGGTGTCATCATCAGTTTCGTCCTCTTGCCTTTCAGATCTGCACGTTCTCAGATACCCGACGAGGAAGATGAGACTCAGCACAAAGTAGAATGCTATCAAGAAAGACGAGAGCTTGCGTAGCCCAACCGCTGCCGACAGAGCAGGACCCAACAACAATCCGGGAACATAGAAAAGAGACATGCCGACTTGCGTGATTGCACCAACGTACGCTGCCACATTACTCGCATCTCCGACTTTCCGACGCCGCAACCTGCGGAGGAGGTCTTCAGGAGCTGCTGTTTGCAAAATCCCGACAGCTATTCCACACGGTACCGTGGAAATGTAAGTCAACGCCACTGATGGTCCGTTCGGCAATATGGATGCAGGTCCATAGAGTAGATAGGCGATGATGGCCATACACAGTTCGAACACACACATATTCCTTGGGCTTATCCATTTGTCCAGGACATAACCGCACAGGAAGGCCACGACAGCAAACATGAGCGAAAACATCAATATGGCGAGGCCCCCCTGACTGAATGACGTCCCGAACGACTCCTTCATGTACTGGGATATGGTGGACTCAATCAGGCCGCCCATGACGCTACCCATTGCCAGCACCATTAGACAAATACACACACCTGGAACAGTCAGGATGTGTTGAAACGTTACTGCACTCTTTCCATGTTGCTGCCTTGTCATGTTCCCTACACTAGAATCACTGTTGCTCGTAGCAGTGTAGTATCCCTGCCCGACCAATACGGAAGCAGTACGGAACTAATACGGAGCTTTGCCTGATGTATATTAGTGTATCTCCGTATATAAGCGTACGGCGTCTGCTGCATAAAAGCAGCTGCGCATTTCTGTTTTGAAGAGAAGATTAGATTAGATTGGATAGCAATGAAAGCTAACTCGAAGAATAAGGATTCAGCCTCTAGGTGAGCACCGGAGAGAAAGTTATTTATTTTGCCGCTTCTTCTTTCACGAACGATTATATCTCAGGTGTGTACCTGAAAGTAGAATAAAAGTAATTATTGTTGATTTCACCGCGCCTACCACTCGGCTACCTATTACA